ATGTATCTGGACTGAAAGTAGAGGTAGTAACGGCTCGGTGGCGGATGGTCCGCACCTGCAGGAATATTGACTTCAATGACAATACTTGAGCAGGAATCACTCGTTCGATTCGAGGCCGAGCCATGTGGGCTCATGACCACCAATACCTTTTTTTTTCTTCTGTTTTTTTCTTCTGTTTTTTTGTTCATCAGGGAGTGAACAGACCAAAAATAAGGAGCAAGGCAAGATGTAAAGAGAATTACCAAACCATATAACCGGGCCCGGGCCAGACCTAATGTATTTCGGCTGCTAACATGCCTAGAACTTGAGAGTTGCCAACATAGTCAGAGTTCGTAGTGCCTTGAAAAGCCCCGGTAGCGGCCGAGATGGCCCGCGTCTGCAATCATGATCATATTGAAACCGATTGAAACCTGTTACAGAGATTACTCGTTCGATTCGAGCCCGGGCATAGATGGTCGGAACTATTGTTTTTTTTTTGGTTGGTTGGATTCGATCCGAGGCAGCCTGAGAGCCATGAAATTGAAATGATGACTGTACCTTTTTTCCTCCCTTGGGCGGGTGCGAAAAAAAATGAACCGACAACAAATAAGATAGGGAAGCAATAAACACCCTGAATGAACCCTCACACTTCCGAACATGCTTTCGAATCTGTGGTGCCCTGAAAAGCCTCGGTGGCGGAGGGTCCACATCTGAAACAGTTATATGCTGACAGACCACTACTGCACGTAAGTTATGCAGACACAGCTCGTTCGATTCGAGCCTGAGGCATAGGTCGTTCACAAGTAGCACTCTTTTTCTGCTTTGGTAAGGACAATCATGATGGGACCTCGGTCACAGTCTATCCAAGAGGACGTTTTTTTCGCATTCAAGCACCATTGAGCGTACTCAGCACTTTGAACCACGCTCATTCAAACCCCTCCCGCTTTCCCCCGCCTCAAAAAAAGTCGGCAACCTATTGGACTGGAAGTAGAGGAAGCAACGGTTCGGTGGCGGATGGTCCGCACCTGCAGATATTGGTGTTTGATATTGAACCGTTTGAGCAGGAATCCCTCATTCGATTCGAGGCCGAGTGATGCCAGTAGAATGCACTTTTTTCTTCTTTGGGTGGGAGCGAAAATGAACTGACGGAAAATAAGAATCCGGGAAGGAATCAGAATACAGATGAGCTGGAACGAAGCGCCCGCAGACCGCTGCCTCGTTTCAACTCCAAGCCTCAAAGTTGGCTAAAAAAAACTTCGAGCCCGTAGTGTCCTGAAAAGCCTCGGTGGCGGAGGGTCCGCATCTGCAACAGTTAATAGACTGTTAAGTGTCACGCAGACGTAGCTCGTTCGATTCGAACCCGAGGCATGTACTGTTGGCGAGCTTTATGTTTGCTTTGGTAAACGCGTAAACACTGTGGGACCTCGCCAAAGTCTGGCACAGGTGTAACTAAGAGGACTTTTTTTTCGGAATCAACCACTATTGAATATACTCGACACTTTAGACCTTTGAGTCCATTTCCCCAGCTTGAAAAAAAAGTCCCCAACATATTCCAAGTGAAAGTAAGGGTAGCAACGGCTCGGTGGCGGATGGTCCGCGCCTGCAACCATTAGCCTCTTGCGAAAGTTGATCAGGAATCTCTCGTTCGATTCAGAGGCCGAGCCATGGTGTGATCGTGTGGCTTTTCCTCCCTTGGGTGGGAGTGAAAATTAAACTAAACCGACGAAAGATAAGGTTCACGAGCCAAGGCAAGAAATCAGATACACCCGCAACTGAGTGCAGGCCGCTACGTCGTTTCAACTTCATGCGTAGAAAGCTGCCAATACATTCTGAGTCCGTGGTGTCCCTGAAGAGCCTTGGTGGCAGATGGTCCGCATTTGCAATGACTGTCAAAGTTACTTAAACATGTTACAGAGATCAGTCGTTCGATTCGAGCCCGAGGCATGCGTTGTCGGAACTTTTTTTTGGCTTTGGTACACATTGTTACAGTGGGACCTTGAGTCTGTCAGGACTTTTTTCGCATTCAAGCACCATTGAGCGTAGTCACATCACTTTGGACCACGTTCATTTTGTGTCTCTCCCCAGCCTCAAAGAAAGTCGGCAGTGTATTCCAAGTAAGAGCAGCAGCGGCAAGGCTCGGTGGCGGATAGTCCGCATTTGCATACCTTAATATCGTGGGAACCAAGTCCCGCATAAACCCTCGTTCGATTCGAGGCCGAGCCATGTTTTCAAGGCTAAAGGATTTTTTTTTCTCTTCATCCTTCGGTAGACGCGAGTCAATTCACTGACATTGACCTCGCTCACTCGAGTCTGAGTCAAAGGAAGTAATAAAAACTGACCCGGGACTCGCACCCACAATTGAGTGCAGACCGCTACCTCGTTTCAACTCCATGCCCGTAAAGTTGCCAACAAACTCCAATACCTTCCAAAGCCTCGGTCCGCATCTACAACAATATGCAATTTGATCGCCAAACGGACAAACGTTGGGCAGGAGTTGCTCGTTCGATTCGAGCTCGAGGCATGGGTATTCTAGGAACTGATTTTTTTGAAATGTTGTTACAGTAGAGAATTTTTTGGGCATTCAAGCACCATGCGTTGAATGTGCCCCCACTATACCAGGTCCATTTTTTTTTTGTATCCATTTCCCAGCCTCAAAATAAAGTCGGCAACCTATTGGACTGAAAGCAAGGGTAGTAACGGCTCGGTGGCGGATGGTCCGCACCTGCTGAAATATTAACCTCAATTACAATACTTGAGCAGGAATCCCTCGTTCGATTCGAGGCCGAGCCATGGGCTCGTAACCATTTAATACCATTTTTTTTGTGGTTCATTGGGGAGTGAACAGACAAAAAATAAGGAGCAAGGCAAAATATATATATAAAGAGAGAGAATTACCAAACCATGTAACCGGGCCCGGGCCAGACCTACTGTATTTCGGCTGCCAACGTGCCTGCCAACATAGTCAGAGTTCGCAGTGTGTTGAAAAGCCCGGTGGCGGATGGCCCGCGTCTGCAATCATATTGAAACCGATTGATGCCTGTTACAGAGATCACTCGTTCGATTCGAGCCCGGGGCATAGGTGGTCGGAAATACCGTTTTTTTGGTTGGCTTCGATTCGAAGCAGAGCCATGGAATTGAAGGGATGACTGCACCTTTTTTCCTCCCTTGGGCGGGTGCGAAAAAAAATGAACCGACAACAAATAAGATAGGGAAGCAATAAATATTAAACACCCTGAATGAACCGGGACCCGCCCTTACAACAAAGCGAAGTATGAGCCCAAATTTTGTTGTACTGTCTGTTTATAAGAGACTAACTCACCCTCATACTCCGGAACACGCAAACATATTCCGAATCTGTGGTGCGCTGAAAAGCCTTGGTGGCGGGGGGTCCGCATCTGAAAACAGCTATTAATTTACTGACAGACCACTACTGCATGTTATGCAGACGCAGCTCGTTCGATTCGAGCCCGAGGCATAGGTTGTTCAACCACTTTTTTGGTAGGGACAATGGGACCTTGGCCACAGTCTCTCCAAGAGGACGAATTTTTTTTCGCATTCAAGCACCATTGAGCGTACTTAGCACTTTGAACCACGCTCATTCAAATCCCTTCCGCTTTCCCCAGCCTCAAAAAAAGTCGGCAACCCATTGGACTGGAAGTAGAGGAAACAACGGCTCGGTGGCGGATGGTCCGCACCTGCAACCATTAAGTCGTGAATATCTTGCGAAAGTTGAGCAGTGATCCCTCGTTCGATTCGAGGCCGAGCCATGAGTTTGAACTAATCCAATTCTTTTTTGGTTAGGCAGTGCCATCGCTCACTCGAGTCAGAGGAAGAAATCAAAAATGAACCGGCGCAACCGAGTACATAGTACTACAGACCACGACCTCATTCAACCATGCGTAGAAAGTTGCCAACATATATTCCGAGTCCGTAGTGAGACTAAGTGTCCTGAAAAGCCTCGGTAGCGGATGGCCCGCATCTACAACAATTGTTGCAGCTTGCTAATATTGGGTGTACGTAGAAGTAGCTCGTTCGATTCGAGCCCGAGGTATGCGTATATCATCTTTTTCTGTTTTGGTAAGCGCTGTCATTGATTTGCGAACTTCAGACGCACGCGCGTCGGATCCGGGCCGATGGTTTCTTCTTGCGTCCTTTTTCCTCCTTTTCCTAACCCTCTCTTCCTTACCCCGTCCTCCCCCCGACCCCCTGCGTCCCCTGTCCTGCGGCCCGTCTTCCGCTTCCCCGTCCCCTTCCTGGCTCTGCGTCCTGGAGCTGAGCTGAGCCAAGCCAAACCCAAGCCAAACCCAAGCTGACCCGACGTCGACGGGGACTCGGAGGACACGAACTTGTACGCCCACCCCGACTCCACGCACGAACTGGACGCCCACCAAGAGTACCCATACACGCGCGCCCTGAGATCCCACCCTTGCCTCACCCGCCCCGCCCTGCGCCCTGCCCTTGCTACCATTCGTCCTCTGACCTGTATCCTCCCTTCTTAAACCGTGAGCGCGTGAGTATCAGTAGGCAATTTAAATTGACGCGGGCGGTCAAATTAGGAATTCATTTTTTATTCTTTAAAGTTAAGTCGCACAGCCAACAGCGATGCATGACAATCCTAGACTCTCACTCCTCGTCTCTTATTCTTCCCTTTCAAGTCACTCCTCGTCGAAGAAAATGACTAAAAAAAACCTGAAGAATCCCGTATGCACCGACGGGGAATCGAACCCCAGTTCGCCATTGTAATGAACTGCTCAACGGATATTACATTCTGTCAGCGGGTGTACCATATGTACACCATCAGCGCTTTCTTGTCTCCTGTAAGTCGTCATTAGACTACAGTGTAAATCCTACCTAAAGTTCAGGCCAATTATTGTCGTTCGAATTCAGCCAGTCAACTTGAATTATGGTTTCAACATGCTTGATGGCTTCTCAATCCCTCCTACTCCCTAGCTCTTACGTCTCTGAATTGCATTATAATAAACTCTCCAGGACCCCCCCAAAAAAACAACATAGTATCACTATGCACCGACGGGGAATCAAACCCCAGCTCGCCGTCGCAATGCCGATAGTCACCCATTGTATCGGTGCATGTACCATACACCATCGGTGCTTTCTGCAGGTAGCGTCACCTGAGAACATGCTGAAGGACGGTCCCTACAAAATGTTTGGATTCAACCAAACTTGAATATCAACACATGCTTTTCGGAGCATCACAGTCCCTTCTATTCCCTTCCCAGCCCCTGTTAACTTTCCAAATCACTTCAAAATTTCTAGGTCCCAGACAAAGAAAGAAAAAAACTGATGATTCCTAACACGAATGCACCGGTAGGGAATCGAACCTCAGCTCGCCATTGTAACCACTGTCTGCCATAACCGCATTCTGTTGGCGGAGGGACTGTGATACAAGAAAGGATGGTGAGATTCAAGTTGGTTGAATTTAAACCACATTGACATTAATTTCAATGCCCAGGACTGCACTGAATGCTCTTTGTTTTAATACGAATTCCTACATACTGTAGTATGGCTCATGAAGAAAAGCATCGTGGTGTATGGTACACCAGCTCTTAATTATTGGCCCGAATCACTCCAAGTTCTGCTGGAAAAAAAAACGAAAAGAAATTTTTGCTCCGTTCACGCACTGACGGGGAATCGAACCCCAGTCCGCCGTTGTAACGACTGCTCAACGGATACTACATTCTGCGGCAGGTGTACCATACACCATCGGTGCTTTCTTTTCTCCTTTAAGCCGTCATCATACTACTTACAGTATCTAGGACTAAATACTACTATATTCTTCATCAAATTATTGTCATTCGAAGTACTGGCAGCCAATCAATTGGAATCATGGTTTCAACAGGTTTGATGATTTTTCGGTCCTTTCACATAGTCTAGCTTTTGCTTCACATTATACTAAACTCTCCAGGACCAAGGGAAAAAAGGCTCCAACGGTATTCGGTCAAATTCGTTCTGATAACCCGAACCGTGAGCATCAGCAGGCGATTTACATATTGGCGCAGCCGGTCAAATTAGGAATTCACTTTTTTATTCTTTAAAGTTAAGTCGCACGACAATCCCTCCTACTCCTTGCTCGCTTGAGATTTTACTCTTCCATTCCAAGGTCCATTAAAGCAAAGAATAAAAACACGGGAAACACCCACACATGCACCGACGGGGAATCAAACCCCAGTCCACCGTTGTAATGACTGCTCAATGGATACTATATTCTGTCGGCGGGTGTACCATAAACCATCGGTGCTTTCTGCACTTGTTAGAATGGTCAATAAATTCGTTCTCATCAATACACTTGATCAGGGTGGTCAGAATTATTGTTGGAATCCAACCAACTTGAATTATGGTTTTAACACACGAAGTTCCAAGGATTACTCCCTTGCAGCTCTCACTATTTCAAGCCACTTCTCATTGAACAACAGAATAAAAAAGCGACGGACAATATACATGCACCGACGGGTAATCGAACCCCAGCTCGCCGTTGTAATGACTGCTCAATAGATACCCTCATTCTGTCGGCGGGTGTACCATACACCATCGGTGCTTGGCCACAGTCATTGATTTGCGAACGAACTCGAACTCGTCCAGGCGCACGCGCGGAACCGGGCCGACCGCGGTACGTCCATTTCCCTCCTTTTCCTGCTTCGTTCCTCCACTTCCTCTCATCCTTACCCCGTCCTCCCCCCAACCCCCTGCGTCCCCTGTCCTGCGCCCCGTCCTCCGCTTCCCCGTCCCCCTTCGTGGCTCTGCGTCCCGGAGCTGAGCTGAGCCAAGCCAAACCCAAGCTGACCCGACGTTGACGGGGACTCGGATGTCGGGCAAGACTACGACTCGGACACGAACTTGTACGCTCACGCACGCCGCGGACTTGGACGCCTCCCCCGCCGCCGCCTCAACGCCCGACCCCGACTCCATCCACGAACTGGACGCCACGCGCGCCCTGAGACAAGTCGTCTCATTCCTGCCTTCCTCTCCTCTCGTCCGCTTTCCTTTCCCCTTCCTACTCTTCCGACTATTTCTACTTCTCGGACAAGGAAATCCGAAATTTTCGCCCGAAAAAATCGTATTTTCCGGACAATCCTTGGCTGGAGCTTCATGGGGCCTGGCCTACAACATGCGAGGCACGAGCACCAAAACTGTTGTAGTGTCTGTCTACGAGAGACTACGCATGGCCGGGTCACCGTAGGTGGGGGACCTCCACTACACGTACAAAGTACGCTTTGACCACAAGTGCGCAAAATTCCGCTCGTTCCAATCGAGCCTGAGCCACAGGTGCGGTGGAAGTAGATTTATTAATATTGAGCGGTGCGTAAGCTAAACGGAGAGCTTACCAGGTTCTAGTGAAAGATGTTTCGGCATGCTTTATCTGCCAGGATTTCTCGTTGAGAGATCGACATTCAGGCTTAATCAGGAGCGTGCCAGATCCGTAAAGCTTACTGTAAAAGTCTCCGACAAGCAAGATACGTGCTTCATTTTGTTGGAGCGTTTGGCCCCGAGAGACTACTAGTACCATAGAATCAAGGTTAACTGGAAGACATTAGCTTTCATTTGCCAAGATCTTTGTGATTCAACCACGGTTGAATTTAAATTGCTCACTTTTCCTCTGGCTCTCTTAGTCCAGTCATAGCCCACATTTGACCACCTGAGTAACCCGAACAGAATATGGCCAGGGAAGGCTGGGTGGCGGATGATCCGCGTCTGCAAATCCTTTCATTTGATCTGTTGAAAATGTTGACTAGGGCAGAACTTGCGCGTTCAATTCGAGCCCAAGCCACGAGACCTTCCTGCAAGGCGCTATTTTTTCCTGCTTCGGTGGAATGAGCACTCACCCGAGTATGAGATCATGCTGGGAAGGAAGAACTGGTTCAACTTTGTTCTGGAGGACATTGACAGGCTCGGAATTTAATTGGAGTTCAACCTGGCGGCCCCCAGGTGAGTCTAGTTTCCAAAGTTGTCGGAAGTCGCGTCCGAGCCATGGGCTCATCACCATTAATACCCTTTTTTTTTTGTTCATTGGGGAGTGAACAGACCAAAAATGAGGAGCAAGGCAACATATATATATAAAGAGAATTATAATTACCAAACCATGTAACCGGGCCCGGGCCAGACCTAATGTATTTCGACTGCTAACGTGCCTAGAACTTGAAAATTGCCAACATACATAGTCAGAGTTCGCAGTGCCTTGAAAAGCCCCGGTAGCGGATGGCCCGCGGCTGCAATCATGTTGAACCCGGTTCATGCCTGTTACAGATCACTCGTTCGATTCGAGCCCGGGGCATTGGTGTTCGGAGCTACTGTTTTTTTTTGGTTGGCTTCGATTCGAGGCAGCCTGAGAGCCATGAAATTGAAACGATGACGGTACATGTACCTTTTTTTCCTTCCTTGGGCGGGTGCGAAAATGAACCGACAAAAAATAAGATAGGGAAGCAATAAATATTAAACACCCTGAATGAACCCTCACACTCCAGAACATACAAACATATTTCGAATCTGTGGTGCCCTGAAAAGCCTCGGTGGCGGAGGGTCCGCATCTGAAAACAGTTATTAATTTGCTGACAGACCGCTACTGCATGTTATGCAGACACAGTTCGTTCGATTCGAGCCCGGGGAATAGGTGGCCGGAAATACCGTTTTTTTGGTTGGCTTCGATTCGAGGCAGCCTGAGAGCCATAAAATTGAAACGATGACTGTACCTTTTTTCCTCCCTTGGGGGGTGCGAAAAAAAAAGAACCGACAAAAAATAAGATAGGGAAGTAATAAATATTAAACACCCTGAATGAACCGGGAGTGACTCGCCCTCACACTCCGGAACATACAAACATGCTTCCGAATCTGTGGTGCCCTGAAAAGCCTCGGTGGCGGAGGGTCCGCATCTGAAAACAGTTATTAATTTGCTGACAGACCACTACTGCATGTTATATATTATGCAGACGCAGCTCGTTCGATTCGAGCCCGAGGCATCGGTCGTTCACAAGTAGCACTCTTTTTCTGCTTTGGTAAGGACAATCATGATGGGACCTTGGCCACAGTCTATCCAAGAGGACTTTTTTTTTTCGCATTCAAGCACCATGTATTGAATGTACACCCACTGTACCACGTCCATTTTATTTGTATCCATTTCCCAGCCTCAAAGAAAGTCGGCAGTGTATTCCAAGTAAGAGCAGAGCGGCAAGGCTCGGTGGCGGATGGTCCGCATTTGCATACCTTAATATCGTGGGAACCAAGTCCCGCATAAACCCTCGTTCGATTCGAGGCCGAGCCATGTTTTCAAGGCTGAAGGATTTTTTTTTCTCTTCATCCTTCGGTAGACGCGAGTCAATTCACTGACATTGACCTCGCTTACTCGAGTCTGAGCCAAAGGAAGTAATAAAAACCAAATTTAAATGACCCGGGACTCGCACCCGCAATCGAGTGCAGACCGCTACCTCGTTTCAACTCCATGCCCCAACAAACTCCGAGTCCGTATCAGTACCTTCCAAAGCCTCGGTCCGCATCTACAACAATTTACAATTTGATCGCGAACGGACAAACGTTGGGCAGGAGTTGCTCGTTCGATTCGAGCTCGAGACATGGGTACTTATTCTAGGAACTGATTTTTTTGGTTTTGGTAAACGTTGTTACAGTAGAACCTTGAGTCTGTGAGGAATTTTGGGCATTCAAGCAACATGTATTGAATGTACCCCCACTGGACCACGTCCATTTTTTTAATATCCATTTCCCAGCCTCAAAATAAAGTCATCAACGTATCTGGACTGAAAGTACAGGTAGTAACGCCTCGGTGGCGGATGGTCCGCACCTGCAGATATTGGTGTTTGATATTGAACCGTTTGAGCAGGAATCTCTCGTTCGATTCGAGGCCGAGTGATGCCAGTAGAATGCACTTTTTTCTTCTTTGGGTGGGAGCGAAAATGAACTGACGGAACATAAGAATCCGGGAAGGAATCAGAATACAGATGAGCTGGAACTCGCGCGCGCAGACCGCTGCCTCGTTTCAACTCCATGCCTCAAAAGTTTGCCAAAAAACTCCGAGTCCGTAGTGTCCTGAAAAGTCTCGGTGGCGGAGGGTCCGCATCTGCAACGGTTAATAGACTGCTGCGTGTCACGCAGACGTAGCTCGTTCGATTCGAGCCCGAGGCCGACAGTTTATTTTATTTTATTTTTGCTTTGGTAAACACGTAAACACTGGGACCTTGCCAAAGTTTGGCACAGGTGTATCCTGGTGTATCTAAGAGGACTATTTTTTTTCGCAATCAGCCATTATTGAATATACTCGACACTTTAGACCTTTGAATCCATTTCCCCAGCTTGAAAAAAAAAGTCCCCAACATATTCTGAGTGAAAGCAAGGGTAGCAGCGGCTCGGTGGCAGATGGTCCGCACCTGCAGATATTGGCGTTTGATATTGAACCGTTTGAGCAGGAATCCCTCGTTCGAGGCCGAGCCATGGCCCGGGGGCTCATCACCATTAATACCTTTTTTTTTCTTTTGTTCATTGGGGAGTGAACAGACAAAAAAAATAAGGAGCAAGGCAAAATTAGAATATAAAGAGAATTACCAAACCATGTAACCGGGCCCGGGCCAGACCTACTGTATTTCGGCCGCTAACGTGCCTAGAGCTTGAAAATTGCAAGCATAATCAGAGTTCGCAGTGCGTTGAAAAGCCCCGGTAGCGGGTGGCCCGCGTCTGCAATCATAGTCATATTGAAACCAATTGAAATTACAGAGATCACTCGTTCGATTCGAGCCCGGGGCATAGTGGATCGGAACTACTGTTTTTTTTTGGTTGGCTTCGATTCGAGGCAGCCTGAGAGCCATGAAATTGAAACGATGACTGTACCTTTTTTAAGATAGGGAAGCAATAAATATTAAACACCCTGAATGAACCGGGACTCGCCCTCACACTCCGGAACATGCAAACATATTCCGAATCGGTGGTGCCCTGAAAAGCCTCGGTGGCGGAGGGTCCGCATCTGAAAACAGCTAATAATTTGCTGACAGACCACTACTCCATGTTATGCAGACGCAGCTCGTTCGATTCGGGCCCGAGGCATAGGTGGTTTACATTTAACACTCTTTTTCTGCTTTGGTAAGGACAATTAAATGGGACCTTGGCCACAGTCTATCCAAGAGGACCTTTTTTTCGCATTCAAGCACCATTGAGCGTACTCGGCACTTTGGACCAAGTTCATTTTTTTTGTATCCATTCCCCAGCCTCAAAAAGTCGGCAACCTATTGGACTGAAAGTAGAGGCAGAGACGGCTCGGTGGCGGATGGTCCGCACCTGCAGATATTGGTGTTTGATATTGAACCGTTTGAGCAGGAATCCCTCGTTCGATTCGAGGCCGAGCCATGGGCTCATGACCACCAATACCTTTTTTTTCCCTTTTTTTTTTGTTCATTGGGGAGTACAGACAAAAAATAAGGAGCAAGGCAAAATTAGAATATAAAGAGAATTATAATTACCAAACCATGTAACCGAGCCCGGGCCAGACCTAATGTATTTCGGCTAGCGCTGCTAACGTACCTAGAGCTTGAAAATTGCCAACATACATAGTCAGAGTTCGCAGTGCGTTGAAAAACCCCGGTAGCGGATGGCCCGCGTCTACAATCATAGTCATATTGAAACTGATTGAAACCTGTTACAGAGATCGCTCGTTCGATTCGAGTCCGGGGCATAGCTAGTGGAGCCAGTGCTTTTTTTTTGGTTGGTTGGTTGGCTTCGATTCGAGGCGGAGCCATGAAATTGAAACGATAACTGTACCTTTTTTCCTTCCTTGGGCGGGTGCGAAAATGAACCAACAAAAAAAATAAGATAGGGAAGAAATAAATATTAAACACCCTGAATGAACCGGGACTCGCCCTCACACTCCGGAACATGCAAACATACTTATTCGAATCTGTGATGCCCTGAAAAGCCTCGGTAGCGGATGGTCCGCATCTGAAACAGTCATATGCTGACAGATCACGACTGCATGCTATCCAGACACAGCTCGTTCGATTCGAGCCCGAGGCATAGATTGTTCGGGGTCAGCACTCTTTTTCTGGTTTGGTAAGGACAATGGGCCCGGGACCTTGGCCACAGTCTATCCAAGAGGACTTTTTGGGCATTCAAGCACCATACATGTATTGAATGTACACCCACTGGACCACGTCTATTTTTTCTGTATTCATTTCCCGCCTCAAAATAAAGTCGGCAACCTATTGGACTGAGAGTAGAGGTAGTAACGACTCGGTGGCGGATGGTCCGCACCTGCTGGAATATTAGCTTCGATTACAATCCAATTGAGCAGGAATCCCTCGTTCGATTCGAGGCCGAGCCATGGGCCTGCTCATGACTGAATACCTTTTTTTTCTTTTTTTGTTCATTGGGAGTGAACAGACAAAAAATAAGGAGCAAGGCAACATATATTTATAATTACCAAACCATGTAACCGGGCCCGGGCCAGACCTAATGTATTTCGGCCGCTAACGTGCCTAGAACTTGAAAATTGCCAGAGTTCGCAGTGCGTTGAAAAGCCCCGGTAGCGGATGGCCCGCGTCTGCAATCATAGTCATATTGAAACCGATTGAAACCTGTTACAGAGATCACTCGTTCGATTCGAGCCCGGGGCATGTGTGCTCGGTGCTAGACTTTTTTTTTGTTTTTTTGGTTGCATTCGATTCGAGGCAGAGCCATGAAATTTAAAGGATGGCTGTACCTTTTTTCCTTGCTTGGGCGGGTGCGAAAAAAAAATGAACCGACAAAAAATAAGATAGGGAAGCAATTTTGAAACACCCTGAATGAACCGGGACTCACCCTCACACTCCGGAACATGCAAACATACTTATTCGAATCTGTGGTGCCCATGAAAAGCCTCGGTGGCGGAGGGTCCGCATCTGAAACAGTTATTAATTTGCTGACAGACCACTACTGCATGTAAGTTATGCAGACGCAGCTCGTTCGATTCGAGCCCGAGGCATAGATTGTTCGGGGTCAGCACTCTTTTTCTGCTTTGGTAAGGACAATGGGACCTTGGCTACAGTCTATCCGAGAGGACATTTTTTCGCATTCAAGCACCATGTATTGAATGTACCCCCACTGGACCACGTCCATTTTTTTTTTTTTGGATCCATTTCCCAGCCTCAAAATAAAGTCATCAACGTATCTGGACTGAGAGTAGAGGCAGTAACGACTGGGTGGCGGATGCCCCTGCAGAAATATTGACCTCGATCGCAATACTTGAGCAGGAATCCCTCGTTTGATTTGAGGCCGAGCCATGGGGCTCATGACTGGATATGTACCTTTTTTTTTTTGTTCATTGGGGAGTGAACAGACAAAAAATAAGGAATATAAAGAGAATTACCAAACCATATAACCGGGTCAGACCTAATGTATTTCGGCTGCTAACGTGCCTAGAACTTGAAAATTGCCAACATACATAGTCAGAGTTCGCAGTGCCTTGCAAAGCCCCGGTAGCGGATGGCCCGCGTCTGCAATCATAATCATATTGAAACTGATTGAAATCTGTTACAGAGATCGCTCGTTCAATTCGAGCCCGGGGCATAGTGGGTCGGAACTACTGTTTTTTTTGGTTGGATTCGATTCGAGGCAGAGCCATGAAATTGAAACGATGACTGTACCTTTTTTCCTTTCTTGGGCGGGTACGAAAAAAATGAACCGACAAAAAATAAGATAGGGAAGCAATAAACACCCTGAATGAACCCTCACACTCCGGAACATGCAAACATATTCCGAATCTGTGGTGCCCTGAAAAGCCTCGGTGGCGGAGGGTCCGCATCTGAAAACAGTTATTATCTGCTGACATGTTATGCAGACGCAGCTCGTTCGATTCGGGCCCGAGGCATAGGTGGTTCACAAGTAACACTCTTTTTCTTCTTTGGTAAGGACGGTGGGACCTTGGCCACAGTCTGAGGACCTTTTTTCATATTTAATCATTGAATACTACCACTTTGGACCAAGTTCATTTTTTTGTATCCATTCCCCAGCCTCAAAAAGTCGGCAACCTATTGGACTGAAAGTAGAGGCAGAGACGGCTTGGTGGCGGATGGTCGGCACCTGCAGATATTGGTGTTTGATATTGAACCGTTTGAGCAGGAATCCCTCGTTCGATTCGAGGCCGAGTGATGCCAGTAGAATGCACTTTTTTCTTCTTTGAGTGGGAGCGAAAATGAACTGACGGAACATGAGAATCCGGGAAGGAATCAGAATACAGATGAGCTGGAACTCACGCCCGCAGACCGCTGCCTCGTTTCAACTCCATGCCTCAAAGATTGCTAAAAAAACTCCGAGTCCGTAGTGTCCTGAAAAGTCTCGGTGACGGAGGGTCCGCATCTGCAACGGTTAATAGACTGCTGCGTGTCACGCAGACGTAGCTCGTTCGATTCGAGCCCGAGGCCGACAGTTTATTTTATTTTATTTTTGCTTTGGTAAACACGTAAACACTGGGACCTTGCCAAAGTTTGGCACAGGTGTATCTAAGAGGACTTTTTTTTTTCGCAATCAACCATTATTGAATATACTCGACACTTTAGATCTTTGTATCCATTTCCCAGCCTCAAAATAAAGTCATCAACGTATCTGGACTGAGAGTAGAGGTAGTAACGACTCGGTGGCGGATGGTCCGCACCTGCGGAATATTAACCTCAATTACAATACTTGAGCAGGAATCCCTCGTTCGATTCGAGTCCGAGACATGTGTTGTCCACCACTCTTTTTTTTTGTCCTGGTAAACGCTATGGGACCTTGGCCGCAGTCTGGCGGAGGTGACTTTCACAGCCAAGCACTTTTGAATATACTCGACACTTTAGACCTTTGAATCCATTTCCCCAGCTTGAAAAAAAAAAGTCCCCAACATATTCTGAGTGAAAGCAAAGGTAGTAACGACTCGGTGGCGGATGGTCCACGCCTGCAACCATTAACCTCTTGCGAGAGTTGATCAGGAATCACTCGTTCGATTCGAGGCCGAGCCATGCTGTGATTTGGTAGCTTTTTTTCTTCCTTGGGTGGGAGTGAAATTTAAACTAAACCGACGAAAGATAAGGTTCGCGAGCCAAGGCAAGAAATCAAATACCAGGCTCATACCCACAACTGAGTGCAGACCGCTACCTCGTTTCAACTCCATGCCCGCAAAGTTGCCAACAAGCTCCGAGTCCGTACGCGTAGTACCTTCCAAAGCCTCGGTCCGCATCTACAACAATTTACAATTTGATCCCCAAACGGACAAACGTTGGGCAGGGCATGGGTATTCTAGGAACTGATTTTTTTGATTTTGTTACAGTAGGACCTTGAGTCTGTGAGGACTTTGGGGGCATTCAAGCACCATGTGTTGAATGTACACCCACTGGACCACGTCCATTTCTTTTATATCCATTTCCCGCCTCAAAATAAAGTCATCAACGTATCTGGACTGAAAGTAGAGGTAGTAACGACTTGGTGGCGGATGGTCCGCACCTACTGGAGTATTACCCGTCGACTTTACTGTTTGAGTTTGAGCAGGAATCCCTCGTTCGATTCGAGGCCGAGCCATGCACTCATGACCATTTTTTTTTTGTTCATTAGGGAGTGAACAGACAAAAATAAAGAGCAAGGCAACATATAAAGAGAATTATAATTACCAAACCATGTAACCGGGCCCGGGCCAGACCTAATGTAAGTATTTCGACTGCTAGCGCGCCCAGAACTTGAAAATTGCCAACATACATAGTCAGAGTTCGCAGAGCGTTGAAAAGCCCCGGTAGCGGATGGCCCGCGTCTGCAATCATATGTAATCATATCGAACCCGGTTTATGTCTGTTACAGAGATCGCTCGTTCGATTCGAGCCCGGGGCATATATCGGAGCTACTCTTGTTTTTGGTTGGCTTCGATTTGATTCGAGGCAGAGCCATGAAATTTAAAGGCTGACTGTACCTTTTTTCCTTCCTTGGGCGGGTGCGAAAATGAACCGACAACAAATAAGATAGGGAAGCAATAAATATTAAACACCCTGAATGAACCCTCACACTTCCGAACATGCTTCCGAATCTGTGGTGCCCTGAAAAGCCTCGGTAGCGGAAAGTCCGCATCTGAAAACAGTTATTAATTTGCTGACAGACCGCTACTGCATGTAAGTTATGCAGACGCAGCTTGTTCGATTCGAGCCCGAGGCATAGGTCGTGCACAAGTAACACTCTTTTTCTGCTTTGGTAAGGATACTTAATAGGACCTCGGTCACAGTCTATCCAAGAGGACGTTTTTTCGCATTCAAGCACCATTGAGCGTACTCGGCACTTTGGACCAAGTTCATTTTTTTTGTATCCATTCCGCAGCCTCAAAAAGTAGGCAACCTATTGAACTGAGAGTAGAGGTAGTAACGACTCGGTGGCGGATGGTCCACACCTGCTGGAGTATTACCCGTCGACTTTACTGTTTGAGTTCGAGCAGGAATCCCTCGTTCGATTCGAGGCCGAGCCATGGCCCGGGGGCTCATCACCATTAATACCTTTTTTTTCTTTTGTTCATTGGGGAGTGAACAGACAAAAAATAAGGAGCAAGGCAATATTAGAATATAAAGAGAATTACCAAACCATGTAACCGGGCCCGGGCCAGACCTAATGTATTTCGGCTGCTAACGTGCCTAGAACTTGAAAATTGCCAGCACAGTCAGAGTTCACAGTGCCTTGAAAAGCCCCGGTAGCGGGTGGCCCGCGCCTGCAATCATAATCATATTGAAACCGATTGAAACCTGTTACAGAGATCGCTCGTTCGATTCGAGCCCGGGGCATAGTGGGTTGGAACTACTGTTTTTTTTTTGGTTGGCTTCGATTCGAGGCAGCCTGAGAGTGGAATTTAAAGGATGACTGTACCTTTTTTCCTCCCTTGGGGGGGTGCGACAAAACATGAACCGACAAAAAATAAGATAGGGAAGCAATAAACACCCTGAATGAACCCTCACACTTCCGAACATGCTTTCGAATCTGTGGTGCCCTGAAAAGCCTCGGTAGCGGAGGGTCCGCATCTGAAACAGTTATTAATTTGCTGACAGACCACGACTGCATGTTATGCAGACGCAGCTCGTTCGATTCGAGCCCGAGGCATAGATGGTTTACATTCAACCCTCTTTTTCTGCTTTGGTAAGGACAGTGGGACCTTGGTCACAGTCTATCCAAGAGGACTTTTTGAGTATTCAAGCACCATTGAGCGTACTCAGCACTTTGAACCACGCTCATTCCAAACCCTCCCGCTTGCCCCAGCCTCAAAAAAAGTCGGCAACCTATTGGACTGGAAGTAGAGGAAATAACGGCTCGGTGGCGGATGGTCTGCGCCTGCAACCATCAACTGGTGAATCTCCTGCGAAGGTTGAGCAGTGATCCCTCGTTCGATTCGAGGCCGAGCCATGCGTATAGGAAGAAATCCAATTCTTTTTTCGTTTGACAGTGTCATCGCTCACTCGAGTCAGAGGAAGAAATCAAAAACAAATTTAAATGAACCGGCGCAACTGAGTATAGTACAGACCACGACCTCATTCAACCGTTCAACTCCCATGCGTAGAAAGTTGCCAACATATATATTATATTCCGAGTCCGTGGTGTCCTGAAAAGCCTCGGTAGCGGATGGCCCGCATCTACAACAATTGTTGCAGCTTGTCAATATTGGGTGTACGTAGAAGTAGCTCGTTCGATTCGAGCCCGAGGCATGCGTGAAGTATTACATCATCTTTTTCTGTTTTGGTAAACGCTGTGGGACCTTGGCCACAGTCATTGATTTGCGATCGAACTCGTCCAGGCGCACACGCGAACCGGGCCGATGGTTTCTTCTTGCGTCCTTTTTCCTCCTTTTCCTAACCCTCTCTTCCTTACCCCGTCCTCCGCCCAACCCCCTGCGTCCCCTGTCCTGCGCCCCGTCCTCCGCTTCCCCGTCCCCCTTCCTGGCTCTGCGTCCCGGAGCTGAGCTGAGCCAAGCCAAACCCAAGCCAAACCAAGCTGACCCGACGTTGACGGCGACTCGGATGTCAGGCAACACTACGACTCGGAGGACACGAACTTGTACGCTCACCCCGACTCCACGCACGAACTGGACGCTCACCAGGAGTACCCATACACGAGCGCCCTGAGATCCCACCCTTGCCTCACCCGCCCCGCTCTGCGCCCTGCCTTTGCTACCATTCGTCCTCTGTCCTGTGTCCTCCCTTCTTACCCGCGAACGCTAACACGCGGACGCTTCATTCCTCCCCTCCCCGCTCTCCTTCCTCCGGCCTATTCCTTCTCCCTACTCTTCTTTCTACCCTCCTCCGCCTCCGCCCTTCCTACCCTTTCCTACCTTTCTTAACCTCCCTCCCCACTCTCCTTTCTCTCACCTGTTCCTCTCCCTTCCCCTTCCCCGCCCTCCCTTTCTTCCTTTCTTTGACCCGTTCCTCTCCCACCCTTCCCTCCACTAACCCTCCCGCCACGCCCACCGCACCACCGCCCTCCTCGCCTTCGCGCACGCCTGCACCGCCCTCCGCGCCCACACGCACATCGCGACGCTCCACCCCGCGCGCCTCTCGTTCGCGCCCGACCCGTGCGCGCGCATGCCGGTGGGGGACGACGAGGTGGAGAGGAGGCGGTATTGGCCTGTTGGGAGGAAGAGGAGGAGGGGTTGATGAAGGAGGAGGAGGAGGAGGAGGATGGGGTACGGGTGCCGCGGCGCGCGAGGCGTTGTTGCGGCTCAAGTATGCGGCGGAGTCGGAGTCGGAGGCGGAGAGCACCTCGAGCCAGACGTACCCGGTGTACACGTACACGGCCACGTCGCCTCCGCAGACGTATCCGGTGCGCGACGCGGCGGTGCCGTTCATGATGTGCCCCCCGCTGCCGTACGTGCGCACCGGCTGTACCGGCTTGGGATTGGGAAGGGGAAGCGCGGTGTGGGTGCGGGGGCGGCGGGCGCGCTGGTGGATGCGGATGGGTGCGGCGCGCGGGGGCGGTGGCGCGTGGGCCCGGGGACGAGGAGAGGACGGGTCGGGGCGTGAGGGTCCGGGCATTTTGAGACGGAGGGTAAGGTACGAGTGCGTGGAGGACGGGGCGCGCTGGGGATGTGGTCGCCGCTACTTTGCGAAGAAGTTGGGTCGCCGACTCGGTGGGGGAAGCAGATGTTGCGAGGATATCGATATACTGGTATTCCCTCTTATTTTTTTTCTCTAAAGTAATCTCGAGCTAAATAAAGCTCCTGTAGAGATATTCTGTACTCGAAAAAATAAACAAATAATAAAAAACGAAGTAATTCCAGCTCTAGAACATTTCGGCGAATTTCTTTTTCCGATTCAAATTTCAAGTTTGGGTCTTCCAGTGGTAGGAACATTTCAAGTTGGCGCGAACGAACGGAAAAACAATCAATCCACATCCACGAAGAAAAGCGGTGCCGTACTGGTAAATAGAATACGCATTGCTTTGCGTTAAACATCGGGCGCTGGCTGGGCGTCGAAATTTCGTGAAGAAATAGAGGAGTTTTTTCGTTGAAAAAAAGGAGTCATCGGGGAAGAGTTTGAGATGTTTGAAGTTTCTGGCCTTTGGCACTGCTCATAACGTATACTTATACTGCGCCTTGAGGCTTTCCTTCTTACATTGGGAGAGATTAACGAGATTAACCGGCATGTGTGTCTCTTCGGTACATGACTATAACAGCACTGTAACAATGCTGAGTTTGAACTGTGAATTGGCCAGGTACGGCAACATAGTATGTGAACTTGACGATTAGGAAGCACGTCCCAACAACTTTGCTATTAGAATATTAATGTAGTCTCCGTATCATCACCGAAAATTGAACACAATCTCTGTTTTGGCTTCTTGCGATACTTGAGTCGCTTTTGGGCGTGCAGACGCGAAATGTAGTTCGGTTGGAATATACTGGATATCTGCTCAATTGATTCTTGTGCGGTCACCACACAATACCATTATTTCATGCTTCTCGTCCTCTGCAAGTATGATGCCATAAACATCATTCGGCGGAGGAAACCTGGATTCCATGTCCATCTTCTGTTGCGCGCGACGGAAATCCTCGTCCTGAGTCGCAGACGGCGGCCACGGTCGGTCTATCCCATACCACCTGTCAACAAACTCCCTAACACTTGGGTTTATCGGCGGCAGGTGTCCCAAGGTCTCAATGCGGGCCCGCAGGAATGCGGCGGGAGACGCGTACGTCCCGTGGAAGCGGCGGACCATCGGCGAGCAGGCGTCGTAGTAGTAGTACTGCCCTCCGCAGAAAAAGGCAAAGTCGTGCCACTCCCCGTCCCGTTCTGGGTCGCAGAAGAGGATCGGCTCGAGTGGGGCGGGCAGGCGGTAGGGGCCGTTGAATTCGTACTCGACCGGGAGGAGGGGGCCGTTTCGGATCCACTTCGAGGTGTGGACCCAGCGGGCCCAGTCGCATGACCAGGGCCAGGGTACGTCTTGCGTGGAGTACCAGTCTTTATAGACTGGTTGAATCGGATTAGTGGTGAGACGCCGAACTTCTGAGCGGATTGGTTCCTGAGTAAAAACATGAGTAGCGAATCAGATTATAATACGAACGAAGGTACCGACAGCGCCCGGGTCTTCCTTCCATGCCCATGCAGCGCGCGAGTAGGGGTGTGTCTCAGCAGACAACGGGGAGGCATCATACCCGTTTGATTGAAATCCAACCCGCTGATATAGTACCGATCACCAAATCAAATTGTGCCCCTAATGACTTGTGGGGTACCTCCACTACTACGCTTTGACCATAAGTGCGCAAAAATCCGCTCGTTCCAATCGAGCCTGAGCCACAGGTGTGGTGGAAATAGATTTATTAATATTGAGCGGTGCGTAAGCTAAACGGAGAGCTTACTATAAAATCCAGGTTCTAGTGAAAGACGTTTCGGCATGCTTTATCTGCCAAGATTTCTCGTTGAGAGATCGACGTTAACGTTCAGGCTTAATCAGGAGCGTGCCAGATCCGTAAAGCTTACTGTAAAAGTCTCCGACAAGCAAGGTACGTGTTTCATTTTGTTGGAGCGTTTGGCCCCGAGAGACTAATACTAGTACCATAGAATCAAGGTTCACTGGAAGACATCTGCTTCATTTGCCAAGATCTTTGTGATTCAACCACGGTTGAATTTAAATTGCTCACTTTTTCTCTGGCTCTCTTAGTCCAGTCATAGCCACATTTGACCACCTGAGTAACCCGAACAGAATATGGGTGGCGGATGATCCGCGTCTGCGAATCCTTTCATTTAATCTGTTGAAAACGTTGACTTGGCCAGAACTTGCGCGTTCGATTCGAGCCCAAGCCATGAGACCTTTCTGCAAGGCGCTATTTTTTCCTGTTTTGGTGGAATGAGCACTCACCCGAGGATGAGATCATGCTGGGAAGGAAGAACTGGTTCAACTTTGGTCTGGAGGACATTGACAGGCTCGGAATTTAATTGGAGTTCAACCCCAGGTGAGTCTAGTTTCCAAAGTCGTCGGAAGTCGCGTCCGAGCCATGGGCTCATCACCATTAATGTTCTTTGGGGAGCGAACAGACAAGAAATAAGGAGCAAGGCAACATATATAAAAAGAATTACCAAACCATGTAACCGGGCCAGACCTAATGTATTTCGACTGCTAACGTGCCCAGAACTTGAAAATTGCCAACATACTTAGTCAGAATTCGCAGTGCCTTGAAAAGCCCCCGGTGGCGGATGGCCCGCGTCTGCAATCATAATCATTTTGAAACCATTGAAACCTGTTACAGAGATCGCTCGTTCGATTCGAGCCTGGGGTATAGGTGGCCAGAACTACCGTTTTTTGTTTTGTTTTTTTTGTTTTTTTGGTTGGCTTCGATTCGAGGCAGCCTGAGAGCCATGAAATTGGAATGATGACTCCTGTACCTTTTTTCCTTTCTTGGGCGGGTGCGAAAAAAAAATGAACCGACAAAAAATAAGATAGGGAAGCAAATTTGAAACACCCTGAATGAACCGGGACTCGCCCTCACACTCCGGAACATGCAAACATACTTATTCGAATCTGTGGTGCCCTGAAAAGCCTCGGATAAGACTCAGGATAATATATTATCTTGGCGCGGTCCCTTTCGGAACATACCAAGTTGTAGCGTACAAGTACATCGGCCTCTATAATGTACTGTGCTACACCACTACTCAGTCACCCTCGACGAGCTGACCTCTTCCGAGGCTGTAGATCTCGGGCACCTAAATAGCAGTACGATAAACTCACTGAATAGGATCTACGCTTCATCTGGCCACACCATCGGTTTTGCTTCGAAAACGGCAAATATTTTGAACACAAATTTTGCAACCTGGCAGACTGTGTCCCTGCGGAATATCAGGCTCTTTAGGATAGCTGTTGCATTCCAAGGGGCTATCATAGACACCCTATGTTCAAAGGGTTGAATCAAAACTGTGAATGCC